ATAATCCTTTCTTAAACTTTGCGTCGCCGCGTGACGTTTATCTTAAAAAAAGAAGATGGAAGGCGCCACGAAACGCGCGTAGGCCGTCGCACTATTCCTTAGCTGTTACCGATTTGATTCTTCGTGTTATACCGCGGGATTGTGTGCGACTTCATTTATTTATTATAAGGATAAATTACTCAACCGATAGAAATAGAGTTGTGGCAATTCATTCATCGATCAGACACCGGTACATCGCCAAACTCGCCTTTTATTACATCGTGGCGTTTCAAACTACGAGTGCGCGAAGAGATTGTTCTCGTACAGAAGTTCGTTAGTTCAAAATTGATTTTATATTTTACAATTTTTCTTCTTTCTTTGATGAGCATTGTGAGCGCTAGCCATGCAGTTTAATCTACTGTTTATATATGTATGTATATATATATATGTGTATATATTATGCGTATACTCTCGCAATGAAGTCGAACACTCATCCGTGGTGGACGCTATAACAGCTAATCGCAATATTATCTTGAGGGCTTGTGCACACTCGACATCGCAGTAGGTAGTTAATAGTAGTAGTAATAGTAATAAATCATCGCTTATGTTTTTTTTCTTCTCTTCCCGCCTCTTCTCTCCCAAAAACTCGTATCTTATGGAATACTTTTAAGATCTATTGTCACCACGATTGATTGAGACGAGTTGGTATTATTATTATTATTATTATTATTATTTAAGTTTTCCTTAACAAGATTAATTCATTAGTCATTTCTTTACTTAATACGCACTCACGCATACCTATCGTGCCTCAACGACACTCTATCCTTTCTCAATTCGATCATATTGCACGCCAGTCTTATCTGTTAAGGAATGTATATTTACATAGCGTTATCACTACAACCGTTTATAAATCGATTTTTAGGAATTCGGATGCATATTGACAACCATCACAACAATATATCTTTTTTTGTATTTTTCTTCTTAACGCATAATACAGTTGTCACAATTATCTTGCTTTTCGAATTTCACATGCGCCATAATGATGATCCTCTCGCTAAAGTAAAGCTAAATACGTACTTGTATATTTTCTGTACTATTACAGAATAGTGAATCAGCGCCAACGTGCAGTATGACCGTATTTTTGTATGATTCAAAGGTTCCTCGCGTTCCGCCCGAGAACTTTTCTTTCGTTGATAAGTGTGATATATAAATAAAATAATCAGACAGTGCGAAATACAAAAAACCGCGAAAACTGACGCGAAAACTCGCGAGTAGGAGTGCTTTGCGAGTTTTCCGCCTTTCGCATAGGTTTCGCGCAGGCTTTTATCATCAATCTTACACAAAATGCAATAAATAAGGTAGTTTGTAGACAATGATACGACAAAAAGACAAAGGACAATATAATGGCAGTGAATAATCTTGAAACAGAATGTCAACACACATAGATTTCTTCGCTATTTTCGTGAGGAAGAGCCGAGGTGTATCTTGTGCCAACAACGTTACACTCGGGAAACAGAGTCATTTGTAAAACGAACGTGTATTTGGAAAACGAAGTACGATTAATTTCGATTAACGACTTGGCACACGCAATAATAACGATAATAATTCATTATTGTTAATGATAAATCTCACGTGTCGCTTTAGCACGTATTAAAATACTTCAATAATTACGATGTAAGAATAGCTACCGGTAAATTCGTTCTCGCGACCGTTCATCCCGTATTCGCGATGGCATGCAGAGAGACCCACACGTGCGCGTGCACGCATAGAAGAATATACGCGTGTACGAATAATTCATCCTCCCATTCGCGCTCAATGCACGCACACACGTATGCTTATGAAAAAGTATATATATGTACACATTCATGTATATGTAACCGTAATATATATATATATATATATATGTATTTATCTACCTTGCATTTCAGCAAGCAGCAACAGGTTTGCTTAAAAGATTCGTCTAAAATCCTGTGTTTCTAAAACTGTCAGTCAGCTTAATAACGTAACGAGCAAGAATTCAACAAGATCGGCTGATTCTACTCCGCTAAGCCGGCCGTTAACATTTCTCTCTTTTTTTTCTCTCTATCCCGCGAGCATATCTATAATCACTCTACTGATAGAAATTGCGTTTTATTTTTAATACGTCAACCTTGCAAAGATAATAATTTTGTCAGATTTGGCATAAAAATAACATTATTGCCATCAGTTGTAGCAATTGAAACGTAATTGTTTTTCTATCTTTTCTCAACTCTACGCCGAGGCTTGCTCGCGTTTATCAACGATATTATCATTATGATGTGGACATTTACGCTGGGGATATGACAAAAGTAAGGTGTAACTTCGTTGTGAAATAAATAACTCGCGAAACAATAGAAATTATGAAGAATAAAATACGAGGATGGGCGACAGGAGAAAAAAACGCGGAGAAAATAATCGGAGATTACGATGAATATTCACAGAGCAGGGAACAGGATATACATTGCATCGCCACGAGATTTAAGTCGAAAGTCAAAAGGACTTGACGCGGCTGCGGGGCTGCTGACTGTTCCTCGATTGGCTGCGCGGCGACGGTGTCGGCGTGGACGTCGGCGTGGTCGTGCCGGTAGCGGCGGCGGCACCGCGCGACGACCGCGACGAGTGCTTGCGACCGAATCGAAAGAATCGTCAGAAAAAGATTACCTCCTCCTCCAGCGGTTGCTGCTGCTGCTGCTGCTGCTGCTGCTGTTGCTGTTGTTGTTGTTGTTGTTGTTGTGGAGACGACTGCATTTCCGCGCTTCGTTGCTGTTGGTGCTGTTGCGTTTGCTGATGCGCGTACGAGGTGTCGGGTGGAGAACGAGTGATGCGAAGCGAGCGATTCGACGAGTGTATATGACCACCGCCGATTCCGTGATGATGGCTATTCCCGAGCTCCGGCGATGAGTACGCGGAGCCAGTGACGAGGGCCGGGCTGCTGCCCGTTCTGGAGTGTCGATCCGGGCTGTTATTGCTCGCAGTGCTGCTGCTCCTGTCGATCGTGCGGCAAAACACAAACACAAGTTACTGCCTGCGGCTGAGAAGTGGATGTCAGTAAAACGTTTCGAGGTTAGGCGAGAGCTTACCTTGTGTTATTGTTGCTTCCGCTGGCGAGCTTCAACGGCAGCTGCTGCTTCACCGGCAGATTGCTCTGCACTTTCTGCTGATTCGTCGCGCTGATCAGATTCAGGGGGATGCGCTTCGCGTCGGATTGCTGCGTCTTGCTGCGCGCAGTTTGCTGCATCGTGTCCGTGTTTTGCGTCAAGTGGGACAGATGGATCGCCGTCGAGCCGGTCGTGGAGCTCAGCGTGACGCCCTGTCGCTCGAGCGCCTCAAGTCGCCGATACAACTGCTCCCGTTGCTGCGTCACGTCCCGCTGCTCCGCTATCAGCTGTTCCCTCTGGCGGGCCAGTTCGGTTCGTTCCTCCTCCAATTGCGTCTTCTCCTGCTGGGACACGGCGCGAAACGTCGCTTTCTCCCGACAGAACTGATCCTGCAAATTCCGCAGCTCCTCCAGCTGGCGATTCGGATTCGGACGACTGTTGCACTTGCTCTCCCTACATACAGCCAGCTGTGCCTGAAAGCGGTCGATTGTCGTCATCTGACTAGTCACTATATTGTACAGCGTGTAAATGTGGTGAGACAAGCGTAACGCCGCGCGGTGTTGATCTTTGCTCGTGTCCAGTTCCTGACCCTCCTTCTCGTCGGGATTCTCCGTCGGTAACTTGTCCGAATTGTGTCTCGACAGCTCGTCGAGATTTTGCTTCGGTAACTCGTCCGGATTCTCTTTCGGCAATTCGCCGAGCTTCGGACCGGGAATCAGGGTGTTCAACGCGTTTGAATCGCGTAGCGGATGCCTCTCCTGAAAATTACAGCAGTTAGAATTCGTTGCTCGTGTTCTCTTCTTTATATGTACATGTACCTTGTTATGATCGAAACCGGCGAATGTCTCGGCCCGTCGAGGAACGCAAAGAGCTGGCGGAATGTAAGCCTCGCTGTGGCGTTCACCAGCGGAGCTCAAACTTCTGGACAGGCCGCCTGAACTGGGCGACAGCAAGTTGATGAGACGTGACGCTTCTTGCAGAACCACAAACGCCTATGTTGAATAAAGTTTGCACGATTAATCCATCAGTTTCCGGCTAAATTAAGAGTTCAATAATAAAAATATAATTTGATATCAACCTCCTGCCACAATTGAATGGTGTCCATCCCTTCGTTGTACACCAAGCGACTGTAATCAGTGCCTTCCTTATCGAATTTCTCGATTTTCTCATTATCACTCTCGTTCCCGCTCAAGATGTTTGTCGCGTGTAAAAGCTGCATTTGCAAGTTGATCTTTTCCTCGAACAACAGCGCCAGCTCGGCGTCCTTCTTTCGCATCTCGTCTGGTGACACAATTTCAATTTCAACACGTCGGCAAAAAATATTTGAAATTACGAGAAAATTAAAAGATATTGAAAAAGAAGGTAACATACCGACGATTTTGTGTATGTGCGACTCCTTGGTCCTCGCGATACGCTGTTTCTCTTCGACGGTGAGTGAAATCGAAGAGGAACGAGTATCTCGCAATTCATTAGTGTTCTCCGCCAGCGCGTCGACCTCGTTGTCGTGCTCGTGTGGGCAAGCCTCGCAGGCCGATCGGATGGCCTTTATCCACACCTGTTTGTCCTTTGGTTTCTGAATCTTCAGCTCGAACATCTCCGGTTCGGCCGGGTTATTGCTTATCAGGTAAATGCAGGATTCTTGACGAGCCTTCTCGCGGACGAGCAGCTTCTGCAGCGACATTATGCCGGTTTTATTGTCAGGCACGAAGAACGCGTATTTCTGATCCCTCTCAGCCAAGAAAAACAGTATGTCTGAGAGAACGACCACTACGATGGCAGTCATTTTGCAGCCACGATTGTGCAATAGGTATGCAGTGCCCTCGAACTTCAGGACTCGGTTGATTATGTCCGACTTTTTGAATTTGGCACCACGATACGTCGCGAAGGACTTTGCATCAATCCTGCGGAAACGTCATTAGTCAGAAACAACGATGTAAAAGTAAGAATAATAAGAAGAAAAAAAAAAAAGAAAAAGAAATCGAAACTTACTTATTATATATTTCTAATTTTCTATCCTCACGCTCTTTGTCAGCTACGCAGGCGTCTACATCAGCTAAAATCTCTTTAACAAGGGCCAGCGCTCTAGGTAACTTTGTAGCCTCGTCTTGCACGATGGCGGTTTTGATAAGCGGCTCAACCAGCAGCGGATATTTCGTCAAGCGTTGAGTAACAAAGAGTATACACTCGGGTATACCTTTCTTTTTCAACAAAGGATTCGTCTAAAAACACAATTACAAATCAGCGATATCGCTCGAGTCTGTGAATCTCGACTTTTGTCTCGATGCAAAGCATACCTGACAGTGACGGACGAAACGGGCGAAGCGTGGATCGTTACGCAGGTAATATTTGTACGCCTCGACGGCGTCTCTGTGGCGGCTGCAGAACTCGCCGTACGCGCTCTTCATCCGGTGCGCGTTATCGCCCGAGAATTGCTCGACCAGAATGTCGGCGATCGTGGAGACGACGGGATCGGCGCTCTGCCGTCTTCGCAGCTTCTGCAGGAAGCGCAGATGGATGTCAATGAGGTCACGCAGCCGCGGAAACATACGCTCGAGATCTGGCTGGCCGAGACGGAAGTGACGTCGCAGCCCCTCGGCGAAGATCTTCTCCATCGCGAGCAGCACCAGGCAGTGGTGCTTCTCCGTGAGCACAAACTCGTAAATGTGCTCCTGCCGCTTCACCTCGCGCTCGCAGTTGTCGACGAGGCGCAACGCGACGTTACGCCCGATCGTCGAGCTCCAGGAGTCGGGCTCCTCCTTCCCCAGCTCCAGCTCGGGGTCGATCTCCTCGAGGTCGCTCACCGTGAACTGATGAGCGTCCTCGCCGAAGTCAAATTCCTCCCCACCGCTGGAAATGAAGGAGAGAATCGGTTTATTAATTCCCTCCCGTTGATCCGTCAAAGCTACGACATCGTTACTGGACGACAATATTGCTACTTATTGATTCATTTGTGGGCTGAAGTTTTTATTGCAACATTTATAGGAAAAGAAAGATATATTTTACAAACCTGGGAAGATCACGATGCTGCCCGCTCTCGGCGTCTTTCTCTTCGTTTATCGTTTGACTGAAAGAAAGATATAGCTTCGTTTCATAAAGCGCTATTTGTGATTAAAGAAGAAGTCTTACTTTCCCCTAAGTGATGCATACAATGTTAGGTCGAACTCCAGCTTGAAAGACTCTTGAAATTAAACGGTATTTACGTTGCGGGGCGCTTTTAAGAAGACTGCGTGAGTTATGCGTTGAAAAAAAATTATTCTTTTCGATACGTGGCCTTCTATACAAACCTTCCTTAGGACGATATTTCGATCGCATCGTTTTTAAGCGTATGCAATATCTTCTCGTTTAACACTCGTTACGCAGTCAATACGTATCCGACACGTTTACTGAGCAATTGCATTTGCCGTAATATGATTAATGCGACCGCCCACGTAATGCATAGCTAAACAAAGCCAGCGATCTAAGATAGATTCAGAGATTAAAGATCTTTATATAGTTTCAATAGCAACAAAAGCCATTCGCGCGTGAGCGAGAACCTACAGAGAGCCGGGGAACTCCGAGTTCAGGTCGGCTGGGACATGCGTCGTGAATGTTTCCTCGCGCTCTCCTAGCTTTTATATATCCCAGTCCCGCTTAAGCTCCTTTCATCGGGACGCACGTACGAGACGCACGTGCGAGAGTTCGGACCCGTCAGACCATAATCCCAGCCCGACCTAGAGCTTGACAAATTACTGCAAGGATATGACTGTCTATATGAAAGTTCGAGTATGGAATCTCGTGATACATTGACAATTGTAGGAACGATGAGATAGAGAAACGCAACAAGCTGTCGTTGGCAGGGCAAGGTGTAAAGTGAAAAGGAAAGAGAGAAAGAGAGAGAGAGAAAGAGAGACTGACAACTTGTTATAATCATGTGTGACTTTTCAGTGTGTGAATACTTATCACGGAGAAATTACCTTACTAAGACTAAGACTCGGTGAGCTTACGCGCTACAATTTAGGCGAAGATTACAACGAGAAGAAGAGAACACAAAAATATATATATATATATCATTGAATGGACACAAAAATATCATAGAAGCAAGCACAAGATCAGAAGCACAGGCAGGGCAAGATGATGTCTCTTTCGAGTATACAAAGTTCGACTGCCGTTTGACTGAATTCGTGAAGCGATATTTATGTGTTTGTGTACGTGTTTACGTGTAAGTGTGTGCGAGAAAAGAGTCGAGGAACGAGAGACGCGCGCCTGCCTACTAGACGCGTGTAAGATGACACACGAACAGAAACGAACGGAACGCTTTCGACAGAATACAGGTGGAACACATCAGATATCAGAGACTTACTTGACTCCAAGCTTAGTAGCGACTCGCCGCCAAGGGCTGTAGCTTGACACGGTTTTCTTGTGGCTGTTAATTTCCCTTTAATCGTCGTACAATCGATCGGTTTGCACGTGGTTGCACAAGAGGGAATGCACGGGAGAAGGAAAAAGCACATACTGCATTAGGGCAAATTTCATTTCGCCTGCCGGACTGTTTTTTCCTCCATTTTCCCTCACTAATCTGCCTTTCACGCTCTTTGACTTTACATATCTGTTTTAGCGAATCGTTCCCCGCACGCCTATTTTTATTCATTAACAAATATATATATATATATATAACTTTGTTTGTCTTATTTTCGATCGACGTGAACGCAATGAAAATTGAAATAAACACTCTCGGAGTTATGTCGATGTACTGGATAATCTTTTGTCATCATGTTATTTGCCGATATCGCAGCCGCTAGTATTATTACGTAACTTGTGTAATAGCAAACCGAAAGCTAGCTGAGGTAGTCTGAGCATGGTATAAGTAATACAGTATATAGTAGTATAATATGTAAACGATATTATCAATCGAGATGTAGCGGCGCGAGGCTAAAGCTTGCCGTACTATTGATGTTGCTAAACTGCGAAATTAATCAGAAATAATAAGCTTCTGAGCCAGCCAAAGCCTCGGAGTAACAAGCAGATGCACATCTTCTCCCGTTTCAAGCTTTCTCTCATGTTACATTATCTCTATCGAATGCAATACGTAAACTACTTTCTTTTTTTGTCACTCAATTAATGAAACATTGAATTTTCTTTCTTGCCTAAATCGTGAAATGGTGAATTCTAATCTGCCAATCGTGTCGAACGTGATCTGGGTTACTCATTACTCGTTTTCGCACAGGTAAAAGGAGTTTGTTACAAACTCCGAGCTTAGGCCCAGCCATGCCATTTGCGTGCGAATCTTGAACCACAGATACGTAGATCCAATGCAAAAGATATACGAATTCTCTCAGTAAAACTTATTACCTTCCGGATGATGCAGGCAGAGGCAGCGACGATGTAGAACCGCGCTTGTTCACACTGTTGCTCGACATTGTGGAAGCGTTCGATGCGGACTTCGTTGCGGATTTGCCAGAGTGATGCTTGGACTTGATGCACTCCAGCACTATTTGATCCTTGCACGACTGGCTCTGATGAACCGATGCTCCGCAATCTGATTTTATAAGAATTAATTCAGGCGTAACGTTTTTTTTTTTCATTATTTCACAATATTGCTTAATATAATATTCATCTTACTGTCGCAATGAAGGAGCGGTTTATTCGTCGAATGTTTCATACAAACATCACATAGTAAGCTTCCCTGAGTCCCCACCGTCGTCGTTACCCACAGATGCTGCTGACTAGTCTTCTTCCCGCTTTTATCCTGAAATGAGATTTCAGCACGATTCGTCTGAAAAGTGTCCTTATCGGATATATTGAACGATCGCAGTTTGAACGATTGCTTTACCTTCTTTTTGCGGAAAAAGATAGAACCGCGCTTTCTTCTGGTCTTCTCGGGATGATCATCGTATGGAGCACCACTGAAAAATGAGCAGATATGTCGACCTTGCTCGATTTTAAATATGGAATAGGTATTTAAAATCGGATATTGTAGGTGATCAGCGGTGGTGCAACTATAGAAGCATTTCAATCTATTATTAAGAGAGATAAGACAGCTCATTATAAGAACGTGTGTATATGTGTGTGTGCGTGTGTGTGTGTAGCTTGTAAAATATGTGCGATCAAAGCTACGTGTTTAAAAAAAATGTGTAACATGCACAAACGATGTGATAATTTTCAGTAACATTGAGATTTATATAAAATTCCATGATTTTTCGCTCAATGAGTGTTAAGTGATATTAAACTGCCAACATATATCTCTAATTAATAACTAAATGGAAATGTATGTTATCTCAAAACCAACAAACGTATCTGTACTCGTCTGCATTCGTAACTACGAAATCATCGATCGACTGGCAAACCGGTACAAACCATTTCCATCAGAGACGTTAAAGGATATTCGCAATATCATGAATAATTTAGTTAAGGTGTGAGAGATTTAAGGCAGTCGCAGATACTCACTCGGTCAAAAGCTCGTCAAGGGATATCTGGACATTCGGAGTGCCCTCTCGATCTTCGTGGAATTCATGGCTGTGTGCTGTATGAAGGTCCTCGGTTTCTGTCTCACTCCCACTACCCTTTTCGTTTCTTTCATGACGGCTGTTTCATGCAGGATCGTAGCAAATTTTCAAGTACAAACACAAACTATCGTGTAAAGCGACTATCGTGTAATGAATTTTGTAGTTCAGATATTCTCAGATGATTCAATATCACGGGGAAAAAAAAACACAATGACAATATTTCAAGTAATAAACTGCTCGCGTTTAATTATGGTTGACAAGAATGATCGATGAAAACATATAGAATTGCCTTCAAATCGATAAGAAAATATATACTATTGTTATTAATTTTATATGACATTCTCCATTTCATATGAATTACGATCACAACGCGAGCAGCTGTGCTAGAAGATCTACATAATGCAAAATGTTTTAAGCATTCATGAATGTAATGAATCTCTGAGACTTATTCTACTAGTAAGAAATAATGTTCATGCATAAAATACGTTCTTTTTTGGAAATGAGTTTCTACTTGTGCCAAAAAATCGAAAAATCGAAGTATATAAATATTTACGTGAAGATGCACGCACATGGGTGCCTGGCGCACACATGAACGTACACGGCGCAAAATGTGTGCATAGCTTCTTGTGTGTTAATTTATAACAAGATCGCAAGCTAGATTATAATTTTTCGTTCTTTGAAAAACGTAAGGCAGAAAACATAAATTTCACTTTTTCATTCTCAATCTAGCTTTGCGATCCTTATCTACGATTCATAATGGACTTACGCTGCGAGTGAAGGCGTTGTCCGAGTTCCGGCTTCAGCTAAATGCACCTGCGGTGTAACGATCGACGGCGTCGATATGGATTTCTGAAGAGGTAAACGCGAACCGGTCAGCCCTGGCATTAAACTGCTACTTTCTGCTAATCTCTGACTACCCCTCTTTGTGACTATCTTCTGATATTCGCTCTGTCAAAGAAAAATTCGCTATGTAGTTGCTATGCCGTCCTTGCGCGCGCATCGCATCGTCTTTCGCAGGATCTTCGTAATTACCTGTACGAGATCGGCTTCGTTCAGCGAGTGAGTGCTCGTTTGCGATCTGCATGCCCGATTGCCTACGCCTACAGGTCCAGTGCACGATTTTCCATCTAATTCTAGCTCGTTCTCGCTGTCTAGGCTACTTAAACTAATGCTGCGTTGTCGCTGAAACGAGTAAATGTACGTTGTGATTGCATGAGAGCGGCATTAGCGACGGCCTCGGCGAAAAGCGCAATGCTTAGAAAACAACAAAGCGACCAGAGCCATGCCACCATCGTAAAGCGAATAAGAGTGTAATTGTGACTGTCGGGTATTTTGAAGCCGATATAACCTCGATGAGTTCGGTTTTCTTTTATATTTTTCTTATATATTTCGTAGCAACAATATAATTTAGCGTTAAAACTCGAAATCATCGAGATTGCATCGGATGCGCATCCCGGTTTCAATAAATAACAAATAATATTAACCATATTTTGGGCTTGCAGATGATTTTGTCCGGAGTATCGGCGATGGTTGTGCCTGGAAGACTCCTCCAGATCCTCCAGATCGCCGGTCCAGCTGCGTCTCCTGTCTACGCCTTGCGCCACCCCCCGTTGCGAGCGAACGTGACCCGACAACGGGAAATGCGTCGGGGAGCTGTTGGTGGAACAATTGCCGAGGATAAAGTCCGGATCGGAGCCGGTATCGTGATTGGCAGAGCGAGGCACATGCTCGGCTGCCGCCAGCGGACACAAAGACGGACAGGAGGAGGTCAATCTGTGAGCGTCGTTGGATACGCGATGATATCCCAAAGTCCCCAGTGTCAGGTCTCGCATGCGCTGGATGCAGTCGTGAATCTCGTGCAACTGTTGCAAATTCTCTTCTGCGGAAGAAAGCGAACGTCGTACGTGTTGAGCTTGAGTTAGTAAAGAATCACGCCTATGATTTCAAGTATATTAAACATTTGGTGGAGCACTTGATTCTCTAAATTGCATTTCAATAATTATTTTTAATCTTACAAATTACGTTTATGCAATAAATACAAATTGTGTGAATAATAAATATTTGCACATTTGTAAGTAATTGTTTACTGTGTGCGTTACATTCGAAATTGATATCTTTTCAGACATAAACATCCCAGCTCGGCGTAACTTCGATACACAATGTTTGTATTCTGCTGCTTGTTAAAATATATGAAAGTGGATTCTCACCTAGGACCGGATAGTTCTTGGCCACACCGGGCGAATGCGGCGTAACACTAATAATGGGCACCAAAGGATTAGGCTGGATTTGTATATTAGTGCCGAGTGCGAGCAACGGGTGTTGCTGCTGCTGTAGCTGCTGCCGCTGGTGGTGATGCTGCTCGTCGCCGCCCTCGGACATGGTGACAGATGTTTTGTTGGTATTGTCTTTGGTGTTGTAGCCGGTCTCCGTGACTATGCCGCCGTGCAAACTCAGACCGCGCAGATCCCCATTAATGATAGGTAGCACGCGATCGCATTCGGGATGCGATGAGCCAAGGTAATCGGTTATTACATCCTCCTCGCTGTCCTCGCCGCTGTTCGGACACTCGTCTGCAAGTACACAATCGTCGCTCCGGTTATAATTCTCCTCGGCGTCGCCATTATTGTCGCGACATTCTCTCTCTCATTATTGCGTTAATTTAATGTCCGAGCAAGAAATAGAAAAAAAAAAA